ACAGGAACTAGAGCAAGAAGAAGAAAGGTTCGTTCATCAATGCCTTACGAAGACGTAATGCAGCTGCAGAAGAGAATTTAAAAAAGAGACAGAAGAGAAAGAGACCCATCTTAAGATGACTTGAGACTTCTGCTGTCGTAAATGGAACTAATTTTGACACAGAAAAATGACGTGTCACATTTTAGCAAATTATAGTTACGTTGTATTGTCTTTATGACCTCACTATCTGCTTTAAAAAAAAATTGTAGTTGTTTTGGGTTTTTTTTGTTGGTGTTGTTGGGTTTTTCATCATCATAAACACCGCTCTTTCCAAAATGTGAGGCAGCGTGGTGGAATCAGGCTCTCGTCAATTTTGAGAGGTGTAGAGTTATTGGTATCATCGTAAAGCTTGTTCACTTGTCTTTATTTGGATGGAAAAAAATATCCATTTATCTTGAATACAAGTCGAGATATTTGCAAATAAAGGAGGTATTTGCAAATAAAGGAGGTGGGGGGTCACCTGTTTTCAGAGGTAAAATTTGTGAGAAAATGGCCACCAAAGATTAGGTATTTCCTTAGATTAAGAGTCCGTGGTAACTGAAAATTTACTTTTTTGTGAATTTAATCAACGTTTTTCAGAAAAATCCACACAGAAATTAGTTCTTTAATGGGTATGAAAGGTGTTCAGCCAAAAAACGAAAATTTGATAAAAATTCACAAACCTGCGGAAAAATGCAAGTTTCTTCAGCTTGATTATTTTGACGAGAGCCTGATTCCACCACGCTGCCTCACAAATAATAATTTACATTAGAAATTGGTAAAATTCTTCTTGATACGATTGACACACCATTCTAGTTGTAATGAAACCCTTTGGAGTTAAAAGAAATTTGCGAAAACGTGCAACACTTTAGAAGGGAAATGACGGGGAAAAAATGATTATTGTGTCTTTAATTTTTGTTCCAGCCATGACAATGATGGACCTGCCCAACCGTTACAAGGTCTGCAACGAAGACGAGCAACAGCTTTTCTTTCTGGAGGAAGGTGGGTTTTGTGAACAGAAGAATGCTACGTCTCAGTATAAAACTTCTTACACAGTGGGTGGTTGGCGGGTGCTCTGGTGCGATTTGCTCCCTCTTTCTTATCAAACATCTATCGTCATACTTGGTTTGGTGGCCCAAAATCAACAAGAGAAGGCTTCGGCCGCCACCCGAGCAAAATTCAAAATTTCCCACAAACTGAACATGTTTCATGTTTAATGTGGGTCCCGCGCGCTCATTTGACCTTATGCAGTTGTGAGCACTGTAAAACGCTTATCAAATCAACAGTAACAGCAACAACAACAACAAAATATAAAAAAAACAGCAGTTAGGCGCTTGGTCATCGCACGCAAGATGTTTTAATAAAGTATCTCGGTCTGTCTGTCGGGATGTTGTAGTCCTCATCTTTGCACGAGCTAGCACTGACACGCAGAGTTAAAAAACCTTTTCCTTTCCTAAATTGGTCGCTTATTTACGGACCAGCGGGCTAACCCAGATTTTGGGGGTTTCCAGAAATCTTGACCTCCCCTCACCAAAAGTGGGAATTGCCCTACCTATAGGAGACGTTTGGTTTTATTGGTGTGTACATCTGTTTCAATTCAGAGAAAACTCTGCTTGTCTTTAAAAGAGACTGAACAAGGGGCACAAACTTTACCTTCGATTTTCTCAAAATCGCATTTTTGGGGGGGACAGCCCCATTGTGCTTAAAAGCGACCAATTATCATACGCCTTATTGTTTCGATTTGGTTGTAAAAATATTTACATTTAAAATAAAAATGGCAGAGTGGTCAAGGGTGAATGATAACTGATGAACATGTGCAAAGTCTGTGCTCTCCCCCACCCCTTCTTGGCGAAGGCAGTGCTACTGACTGAAGTTGTCTTTAGGCCATTCCCAAAAGCGGGGAGTGGGGGGGATATTAACATAATATTCTTATGCCCACTACAATTGTAAATGAGCTGATTCATCAATGTCATGCTCATACAGTGCCAGAACAACATAGGGGGAACTGCCGCTTTTTCATTCCTCATCCTTACTATCGTCATTTTCCCTCTACTTCTTTTGTATGTTTGTCACTCTCTTGTGAGCTGCTATTTCAGGGGTGCCTTGATAGTCAAAGCAGACTTTGTGCTGTTGAGACTAGAAAGATGAGCAGAGTTAAAGCCTGATTCTCCGTTTGGACTTCCCGGTTGACACCCACCCCCTTGGCGCTCATGATTGTGACCTTATGCAGTTGCGAGCGCCGTAAAACCGTACTTACACAAGAAAAAAAATAGTCTGTGCTGACATAATAATATGCTCGTCCGTTTCCGTGTGTTTTACAGTTAACGCCGGCAGCATACGGCGAGACCGTGGTTTCAATGTGGTTGCTAAGGACTCTTATGGCCAGGTGAGTATCCAAAACGCGAACTCTCTCTCTGTGTCTGTCTGTGTCTGTGTCTGTGTCTGTCTGTCTGTCTGTCTGTCTGTCTGTCTGTCTGTCTGTCTGTCTGTCTGTCTCTCTCTCTCTCTCTCTCTCTCTCTCTCTCTTTCTCTCTCTCGGTCTCTATCACTATCTGTGTCTACTTTGGAATCATGTAAATTTACGTTTTAAAAATGCTTTACCTTTACTTTGGTACATTGTAACTTTACTAAAGGAATATTTAACCTTTACTTTGGAACAATATATAACCCAACTGATAGAATAGTTCAACCTTTACTTCGGAACCATATTATAACATTACTAGTAGAATATTAAACATTTCTTTGGAATATAACATTACAAATAGAATATTTCAGTCTTTGCTTCGGAACCATTTTATAACTTTACTATAATAGAATAATATTCAACCTTTACTTTGGAACCACTGTGTATGTCGGTAGCCTAGTGGTTAGGCTCTCGGACTCGCAGCCATAAGGTCGTGGGTTCGAATCCCGTCAGGGGCCCGACGTTGTGTCCTTTGGAAAGGCACTTTACGCGAGTTTTTCTCACTTCATCCAGGTGGGAATGGGTGGGTACCCAGTGACTAGCAGCTAGAGACAGCGAAAGATCTTGTCACTTTGTTAGTATTTGAGCGGTTAATCAGCTGCTTGCACTGTATGCTTCTCGGGAAGCTGAGAATGTTTAGGAGTGTTCTATAGTCTTCTGGGGTAATGATATAGGCTAGTGTAATCCGCATCGAGCTTGTGTTTGAACAGGGATATGCGCCATACAAAATTATTCTATTTACTATTATTATGATGATGATAATGAATATTATTATTATTATTATTATTATTATTATTATTATTATTATTATTATTATTATTAATATGATGATGATGATGATGATGATGATGATGATGATGATGATGATGATGATGATGATGATGATGATGATGGTGGTGATGATGATGATGATGATTGTTATTGTTATTATTACTACTACTACGACTGTCATTATCATTATCGTTGTGTCGTGTTATCATTATTATCATATGATGATATATTATATATTATATTATATACTCTCTCTCTCTTCTCTCTCTCTCTCTC